CCCCCCCACGTCTACCCAAAATGCGTTTGCCCAGTCTCCAAGGGGCAGCTAGTTAGCATTTTAGCCTTTTTACTTGATCGTTCCTTTCATCAAGTCAGGACTTATTTCTTACTTCTTATAGTTAGTAATGTCCTGATTTGATTACAGTATCGTCAAAGAACGAGACGACATGGATAGGAGAGAGATCCCTAATGCTACTAAGCTGATGGAACGAATGCTTCATCCAAACAACTATGACAAAAATGCCAGACCAAACGCTGGAAGTAAGTATTATCAGAAGGTGAAGCAGCAAGTGTCTCTTCAGGCTTGCTTTACAAAGGTTTTGATTAATGTATGCATCTGTCTTTTCAGTTTTTCTCTACCAGACCTAGGGTTTTGATTAATGTTTTTTGTGTGTGTTGCATACTCGTAGAGAAAGCTGTTGAAGTCTACTTGAGCATAGGTGTCCAAGCCTTCACTAGTATCAAGGAGACAAATATGGTAAGACACTTGACGCCAAAACATGCATTAATATTGATACTGCACGCACTATTAGCCATTCCTGGGTCGATTATGAGCCAATTCTTTTCTTGACCTCGGAATGGTTAATAGTAATGTTCTTACACGTGTTTTCTCTCTCTTTCCAAAGGAATTCACCACGTCAATGTTTCTACGCCAGGAATGGACTGATCTCCGATTGGCTCACGGAATGGATGGAACCTTATCGCTCGGGGGCAAAGACGTGGATAAGATATGGCGCCCAGATACATATTTCAATAACAATAACGATTATGAACTCCACGCAGAAAACCAATTGGCATTAATTTCCAAATATGGCGAAGTGTATTTTAGTGCGAGGTACGGTGGCTGTTTCTCCGCACGCCTTTGAGATTTCGTATTGTCATATTTTGTTAACATGTTTTAATATTTGCATTAACTTTTCTTTTTCTTGACTGCTACTAGGATGTTAGTTAGTGCGTCTTGTCAAATGTACCTTCAAAACTTCCCCATGGATGTGCAGAAATGTTCGCTCGTCTTGGAAAGCTGTAAGTAAATAACTCGCCTCAAATTTCCCTTTCTTCTTCTCTTTATTCATTAGTTCACGAGAATAGCAATCACGAAGTTCTTCAGCAACCGATAGCAATGATCGCGATTTTTCCACCTAAACTATTCCAGCTATATCACGTCTGTCATATATTAACATGCGCCTTATGTTTTTCTTTCAATTTTTATTACTTATGTTCCATGCGACGATATGATCAAATGCGCAAATGTTTTCTATCTCGGAGCATTGACGTGCGTAGTCGTCTGATCATAAGATCTAGCTATTCAGTACACTGTCTATGAAAGATCAGAGCTGATCAGTACTAATGATAAACCACTGCGTGTTGATATCTTCAGTTGCTTACACTAACGACCACGTGTCATTTCACTGGAAGTGGTCCAAACCTATCACCATCTTCAACAAAGAGCTTGCCGAGTTTGATATGGACAAATGGGAGATAGTGGAGATCAACCAAACCTATGTTGCAGGTTAGATTAAAATCAGTCGCCATAGGGAAGCACGGGTGTCTAGGTAGTTCTCTACATCGTCTCCCGTTTTCCTCCCTCCACAAAAATAAAACCGTCCTTTTTTCATGAGGGTAGCACTTAATAGCCAGTGGCTAACAAACCTGAGGCCCTCAGTCCGTGATCGAATTGGAATTTAGGAGTTGATTTTTGCGGAGGGAGGAAAACCGGAGAACCCGGAAAACCCTTGAAGCACAGGAGAGAACCAACAAACAACTCTACTCATACACAACACCGAACTCGGCGGGACTCGAACTCGTGTCGCATTTATGAGAGGCGAGCGCTAAGACCGCTACGCCACCCGTGCTTCCCTCTTAATCAACTCTAAATTCATATTCCATCACGGAACGAGGTCCACAGGTTTGTTAGCCACTGGCTATAAGTGCTACGCTCGTAAAAACAAGGACTGATTTTAATAATAATATTTTTGATTAACAGGACGTTACAGAAACTTAAAGGTGTCGTTCACCTTCAGGCGCCGCCTTGGTTTTTATCTCATCAACTTCTATGTTCCTTGTGTTGTCATGGTGATGATGAGTTGGATAGTTTTTTGGATGGACTGCGATTCTATTGGTGAGCGTATCTCACTTGGGATCACAACTATTCTGACGATTGTCTTTTTACTTGGGTCCAGTAACTCGACAATGCCGCGCGTCAGCTACCCCAAGATGATAGACTGGTACCTAATGGGATCGTTTCTGTTTGTCTTCACTACACTTATCATGTGCCTGTTGATATTCATGCTGAACCAAATGTCAAGAAAAGAACGAGTGTCTCTGCCATTGGATCGACCACACCCAGTACTCACTCCCAACTCGACTGCCACAACACCAATGGTTAGTGACTTCATTGGTAATGACATCACAAACTATCAGTCGTTATTAACATATGTATTTGTTGTTCCCCAGACCTCTCCTGAAGACATTTCCCATTACATAGCAGATTGCCAAGGAGCAGTTTACCCGATCATGCGCAGTCGTCTTCACACTCAGCGCAAGAAAAAGACCCTGGTCATGAACCCAAAGTTTTCCAAGAGCTTTTGCGGATTCCCAAGTCACGTGACCAGGGGCAACATGGGACTTGTGTGCAACCAGTTATGTAGGATCCTATTTCCTGTCTCATTCCTGGTCTTCAACGCTGCATACTGGACAGTGCTGGCATCCTGAATAACTGCATGAAGATTGTTAGACAGACAGACAGACTGATGTGAAGAACTCCATATTGATGTGGGTTGGGTACCTAGTGATGTAGAACCCTTTGACCAGAATTAACAACTTCAAGGTGATGGTTAGAGTTGGTCACACTGATATGTCCAACCTGGTTAGTGTTATTAGGAAAGGCAACTGCAAGTATAGTGAAGCAAGCTCTTCTCCTAAAAATGTGCATGCTCCATTGTATTGCGCCCTTCGTCCTATTGAAATGGGCTGGATCGTAACATTCAGCCGAGTCCTTGGGTGTTGCACACTTAGGGACTTGTAAAACAGATTCAAAAATCTAAGTTTACAGGTTCTTGTGGCTCAGTTTTCATAACCATGTTGAATAACTAGTTAGATAAGAAAAGCAAGAAAACAGTAGAATAGATATAATGATATAGATTAATAATAATATAATAGATAATAGATATGGAAAAATGCAGAAATGTAGCATGGAAAGAAAAGTAAGGCTTATATTCTTCATCCATAAGGTAATGGTATTCTGAATAACTGATAATTAAGCCTTACTTCATTGATTTATTCACATTATTTATTGTAGTTCAACACTAATGCTATTATAAAAATAAACAGTGATCCCTCGGGTATCTGGTATTTATCTAGTCATTCCTATTCATTAGATGGTTTGCAGATAAACAAGGTGGGTCATATTGCAGTGCAAGAGTACCATATTATTCACTATTTATAAAATATTTGAGATATAACACGCGCACTGATTGGCTGGCTATCGTGTTTATATCAGAGGACAGAGACATGCTCGCACGAAATCATTCAAAAATATTTTATAAAAGCGATATAAAACGTCCGCTTGTGTCTATATGCTGTGATATAAACACTCTGGGAACTGTAGAGCACTCGAGAAGTCGAGAAGTCAAAGAAACACTCGGCTATGCCTCCTGTTTCTCTACAACTTCTCTCTTGCTCTACATCTCCCATCATGTTTATATCACAGTATACAGACACGCACGCTGTTTTATATTCCTTAAATATAGACTCTAGTTCTCCGCATCATTCTCTTTATTATTTGTTCTTATTTATCGATTTTGTTTTCTTAAAATTTCTCTACTGTACAATGTTTTAAGAACTCTTTCTTGAACGATGATTTTTTTACTAAGATGACAAATGCAGGAGTACCTTGACACACTATAAACCTGGTAAAAAAATACAAAAAATATTTTAAATGTGGCAACAGCAACTTACAGCTTGGTGTGATAGACATCAGTTAGCATGTTAATGATAGTACATAGGTGTTAGTTATACCTTTTGTCGGACAAAACGTTTTTCAGAGGACATGAACTTTCAACATGGCAAAGTTTTCCCGATTCTTGGTCTTCAAAATAAACCTTACAAATGAAGAAGACTGTATTCAGTATGGCGATGAGAAATATAGGTATTAGAACCAGATCATTGAGGTACTAACAGGTGGAAACCATCAATGATCCTCATTATCATCCCTCGTCGCAATAGGAGGCACAACAGGCCATCATAACTATGAACCTTGTAATCATCATCATTCCTCCACACCCCAGGAGGCACAACAGGCCATCACAATAAAAAAGGTGGACCTGAAAGCCCTTCAAAAGGTAGATTTGAAGAAATCAAGTTGATAATGTATAGTACACATACCTCAAGCATGTCAGGCTCATATTTATTTTCCTCATCCCATGGAGCTGAATCCCTTCCAAACATCACTTGAAAATGCTCTATAAAACTAATTTATATAAATAAAACATGAATATAACAAATAGAGAGTTCAAAATGCTTATCTCCATTGTATTAGAAATCTAGGCTTTTGATACATATTTGAAACACTCATTAATAATTCATAAGCTTATGGTCCAATTGAAGCCACCATACACGTCACGCGCATGAACCTTTATACTCGATAAAGTCCTCTTTATTAGTATTCAAGTGATTTTATATAAGACACATACATGTGTCTTTATATAAAGACACGTGGTCTTTATATAAAGACCACTCGAATACTGTGAGGATGACTTCATCAGAGATGAAGTATGCATCCAAGTTTAGATGAAGACTTCCAGCCTCATCAAGGTCATAGTCAACTCTAAAAATCTTTGACTAACGTGCCTGTCTTTGCCTTGGCACGCAATATCYAATGTGTGGGAGCTTCTATTGAATCTGGTTGTGCATGGCCGTGACATCAAATCTCTATCGAAGTATAAAAATCCATATTCGTGATGTGTATGGTGGCTCCAGTTGAACCAAAATCTTATAAATTGTTCATGAGTKTTTKAAGCAGTTCAAAAAACTCCTAGATCTTGTTTTATCAGGTATGTTATACATGAAAAAGCACTCCTACTCATTTTTTAAACACTACCGAAAAAAACTGCAGTTTAGCTTGTGCTTGCCTGTTTTCTTCACAAAATGCTCCAATAAAATCTGTTTGTTTATATTCTGGATAGTAAAACATCACAGGCCAGTAGAGTCTGTTCTCAGAGTCCATCTGTAACCTGGCTCCTGTTGGATGATTAGGGTCTAAATTGAATTTAGCTAAGTTTTTTCTCAGTCTACTTTCTTCATCATTTTCATCATAATTGTCATCATCATCATCATCATCATCTTCGTCTGCTTTTGTTTCTTCTATTCTGATGTTTCGACTCTGTTGAAAGTACAGAATGAAATATAGTCTCAGGTTACCTTTGATAAAATCCTATTAACAATAAACTAGTAAATAAATGGAATAATGAATGATGGTTTGAAATCTTTTATTACCTTAATGGCATCAATCAATGCATCAACTTCTTCATTTTTCTTTTTCTCTTTTAACTTTGCTTTCCGTTGATCTCTTTCAGCTTTTTTCTGTAACAAAAAATGTCATTTAATACCAAGAATGCATCTAGAATATTCAAATGAAAATCATAAATCAACTGAGTTATTATCGGGGTTCGTGCTACATTCTCATTACAAAATTCAAGGACTTTTTAAGCACTTTTCAAGTACATGAATTCGATTTTCAAGGACAAAGTTTTTTGTATTAGAAAGTGGTTTTAAACATTGATTCAATGTTGAAATGCAGCTAATTCAGCCGGGGCCACTAGCTTAGATAAAAAATGAGCATGACACGCAACCAACCAGTAAACAAGCAACCAGAAACTCTTCTATCAATTTTAGTCGTTATTTATTTTAAAAGGTAAGTTAGAAATAGCATCAAGTTTGCATTAAATTCAAGGAGTATTCCAGGAGTTTTGGCGTTTTCCCCTTTTTTCAAGGGCTTTTCAAGCGCCCTTAAAAATGTGTTTTCAATTCAAGGACTTTTCAAGGATTTCAAGGAGTAGCACGAACCCTGTATTATAAAAGATACAATGTACCATTACCTGTTCAGCAACTGCATCTTTTCTCAACTTCAAAAGTTTTTCATTATCAGGTTCTATATAATCATTGTCAAGAAATATATAAACAAGCCAAGCCTAACTCACAAACAAGTGGTGTATACAATATCAAGTATTTCTATACAACAGTTCTATGGGCAGTACATAAAGGATATCTTCAGTCCCTTGTCACACCATGCTTTAGTGTGATCATAGATTTTTAAATTAAAACAAGCACTTGCCCCTGTGAAACAAGAAAGATGAAAAAATGTAAGCTTAACAACTTAAATCATGAAATTAGTTCATTCTTGAAATGATAAAATAATAATCATAATAGCTATAAAAAATAAGAGTTAATGATATAATTGAAGTCAATTCATATATAAAATATACATATATGTGTGTGTTTACCTCTAACAATTGCCTTTACGTATTTTGGATCATATTTATGTGCCATCATTGTATCTTTGAGGGCTGACCTGTTATTTCCTGTTGAGCAAAAAATATATTGAATTAAGATCTTTACTAAGAGTTCATTTGATATTTATATGGCCTATATCATGATGAATTTCCTAGACATGTAAACTGTGATTAAGATCAACTGTAGTACCTCCATTTACTGCCATCCCCTGGCCCCTACCCTTACCCCTGACAAGATGTAATGTTCACCTGTACTACATGGATGTCTGCAAGTATAAATAGCCCGGGGGGGGGGGGGGGGGTACTCAGGGGGTAGGGGTGATTGGCGCTCCTTTTAGGGTTGAAAATGTTCCCTGTGTGGATCTTTTAGGGGTTCCGGATAAGTTAATTACGTAACATAACTCTGTACCTTTTGGGGTCATTTATTATGCACATTATTTATGCTATGCTGCTGTTTACTTTACAATGATGCACTAAATATTTCTTTAATATGATCATCGTTCTAATCTTATTATACGCTGTCCTGTCATTCGTTAAACCGGCGTTGATAGCCGGGGTTCATAGTAAATTACTGAAATAAAGCTGTACCTTTTAGGGTTTGAAATCAGGTTGGTTTTAAGAGCCTTTTTAATTTATGCATACCTTTTAGGGGCCATTTTAAAAATCGACCGCTGATCACCCCTACCACCTGAACAAAGGGAGAACCCCCTCCCCCCCGGGATAAATAGAACAATACACATTCCATACCTATAGTAAAGTTAACAGTTGCTCTGTTTGTATAGAGAACTGCATTGAGATTGTCATCTTCACATTTTGCTTTGATGCCCTCTGTATATGCAAGAATAGCTTTCCTGAAGTTCTTCTGCTTGTACTCATAGTTTCCTTCCTCTTTGTAAGCAGTTGCTCTTGCTGAAGAATTAACCATATAAATATATCTTGAACATCTCACATGGTACAGTAGAATAATAGCAATAGCTATATAGGTTACCTGTTGGATCTTCGTCCTCATATTTCAAGGCTTGTAATGCAGCCACTCCCGCACTAACTTCTTCACCATCTTCTGGTGATTTAGTCATGAAGAATGGAATCTTTTCTATTTCCTTGAATTAAGAAAGGAGAGTATTACGCACAAGTTATCATGTAAGTGTATCACGTTTTAACTACACGAAAGCAAAAGAACGTAAGTAAATGTTACACCTTGTTTCTGACTGTATGTTCCAAACATTAGTTATCAAACCTCGTGTATCTCATGAATCAATGTCTTGTGGTTGACAAAGGACCACTCGTAATCTGGACATCACCTACAGACCACTTCACCCATTGTGCTGGAAAACATATCATCTTCTGGGTCTTCTGTTCGTGATTCACATGCAATATCTACACAAGGCGCTTACCTTTTCCCAGTTTTCTACAGTCAGCCCTTCAGTGTATTTATAACCTTTGTTTTTTTCTATCATTTTATCGATCACGCTGTCTAACTCTACGTCGAGTTCTTCACTCTTCTTCTTCACTTCGTCCGCCATCTTAAAAATACTACTAAATGCGCAGGACTGGGTCCATAAACAAAGTTTTGCCTCACGGTACCCCCCTAAGGTTTTACAATCAAGCAAAGGAAAATTGGTTGTTTAAATATTTTTTCGCAACTTCAGTAGCTTCAAGAAAAGAGACAATAAAGAAAGAGCTTTTCAAAAAGCTGTCGCGCGAAAAATAAAATTTCCAAGCGTATGAGCATGATGAGGATTCATTGGGGTTCCTGTGGTAGATGTGTCCGCACATGCGTAGTATGCAGGCGGGAAAACTTGAAAACATCTTTCTTGATATTAGACAAGATAACCGCGGATTTTAGGCTCTTTTCTACAGGAATTTTGTAGTTTGGAAGTGGAAATGAGTCAGGGGGATCGTTTAGCACGTACTCTTCAAAGAATTGGTTGTCCAAAAGCAAAGCATTTTACAGGAGAGAGCCTAGAGTGGTTGTTTGAGAACCAGCCATCTTTACCTTTTCTCGAGTGGTTCTGCGATAATATATCTGGTGATAATGTACTGAGTGAGGATGAACTCACAAGGTTAGACACTTTACATAGTTATCCCTATGTAGTTAGTCATTGTTTATTCTTTTGCGCATGTGTATAGGGCAGAAGGGGCCGCGGAGCAGCCTAAAAAGTGGGAGGGGGGGGGGGGTTAAGAATGGTTAATGTACATTCTTGTAGTATAGATATAAAACTCTAACGATACATAATATATAATAACTAGATACACGAGTTTGGGCCTTAATGAGTAGTTTATTCTCATACTGTATATGGGACACACAATATAACTGCTATGGGTGGGAGGGTAGGGAACAGGGAGCCCGGCTTATAATAATGATAATAATAATGACTTTATTAATGTCTCTACATCTTCTAGCCAGGCACAAGTGCCCTACTAATCGGGGAGACAAGAGGGAGGCTTTAGAATTTGTACATGAATAAATAAATCAATAAGTGCTTTATTGGGTTTCCTGTGTTGAGATTTGAAACAAGACGCTGATACGTTGAATTTCCGGTAATCGTACTACCAGTAACTTGATAGCAGATTAACGTAACATATTAGTTTAACGCAAGCCCTAGCTAGAGAACGTTACACTAATACGTTAAAACTTGAATTATAAGCTGCTGTCAAGTTACTTACGTTAATCTGCTATCACGTTACGTTAATCTGCTATCAAGTTACTGGTAGTACGATTACCGGAAATTCAACGTATCAGCGTCACATTTCAAATCTCAACACAGGAAACCCAATAAAGCACTTATTGATTCATTTATTCATGTACAAATTCTAAAACCGGGCTCCCTGTCGGTAGGGTACGAAAGTAATCAGAGCGAACGTGACCAGAGACAACGCAGACTGACACCGGATACTCTCGTACTCTACCATTGAACCACATTAAACTATATTAATCATTAACTAATATCACAAAATATAAGAGACTAATGGTAAGGGAAAAGGGAAAAAGTGGGGGTTGGTCTATAGCCCCCTCTGCCCCACCCTTTCTGTGGCCCATGTAGTGTGAGTGTGTGATAATGTATAATGGTATAGTAAAACAAACCGTACATATCTCTATTTTTTCTAGATATGAGGAGCTAGTTTCTTCTGGTGAGGGTATTCTGGAGGTAAGAAATTCTTTTGCTTTAGATTTTGCAAAATGTACTTATGGTACTGAATGTACTCTCTGATGTCAAAATACAATCATCATCTATTGTATTCATTTTATCCAAAGGGTGATAAACTTACTGAGGCCTTATCATGTGCGCAAGGGACAGATGAAAGAGTTGAGAGGTCTATTGATGCTATAAGGTTTGTTGTAATGATAGAATGTTGTCCCATAATCATAATAAATATATTTGAAGATTTATTTTCTTGGGGGTGGGGGGGAAGGGGGAAATCAGACCTTCAGGTAAAATTTAAAGCCCTGATCTCCTGTTTGTGGGTCAGGTCTTTTAACTACTGAGCTATGGGATTTGTCAATGGTTACACTTTATTAATTAGTATATGTAATAGGACTACATGCTGTCCAATTAAGAAATAATATTGGAAGAGGAAAATTCCGAGGACTTCCAAAATTGGATGAGGCCATAAGCCGAGTCCAATTTGGCAGTCAGAGGAATTTTTCAAGTCTATTTCTTGATTGGGGAGCATGAAATCCTATTACCTATTAATTATATAGCTGCCTAATTAATCCCATATCAACAAGACCTGTCCAATTAAGAAAATAATTGGACAGTTACCTATATGGGATTAATGAGAAGCTGTATAACTATTAACAATAATAGCTACTGCCATCTTGGCCATGTCTTTACATATATTTGACAAGAAAAATGAGGGATATTATAGGACAATGAATCAGGGTCATCTTTACTCCATCATCAGGCTCAATTTGAATAATTAATATGAATTTCTTTTGCTCAAGTTAACTGATTAGAATATTGATGTCTTAAGAGAACAAAGATGTTTAAAATGTTTTTTTAATTTCGTTAATTATATTCATGTAAAATTGTGTTTAAATAAAGATTACCTTACCTTCCATGATATGTTTTCTTCCAGAGAAGAAATAGAGTCCTTGAAGAGAACAAGTGAACAAACAAATAAAAGGTTGCAGAAACTGGTGTTTCACAGGAATAAGCTGAGGTAATTAACTAAACATGCTGTGTTTATTGCTCACATACCCTATTATAAAATAACCATTATATTCCTTTATATCTCTCCATTCACTCATCTATCATTCCCTATTCATTCCTCAATCATTCTCTATTCATTCCTCTATCATTCTCTATTTATTCCTCTATCAATCTCTATTCATTCCCCTATCATTCCCTATTCATTCCCCTATCATTCCCTATTCATTCCTCTATCATTCCCTATTCATTCCTCTATCATTCCCTATTCATTCCTCTATCATTCTCTATTCATTCCTCTATCATTCCCTATTCATTCCTCTATCATTCTCTATTCATTCCTCTATCATTCTCTAACCATTACTCTATCATTCCCTATTCATTCCTCTATCATTCTCTATCCATTACTCATTCTCTATCCATTCCCATATCATTCCCCATTCATTCCTCTATTACTCTCAAATCATTCTTTTATGGAAATACTAGTTAAGCATAATTATTGCCATGTATTTTTTACATAGTCTTCATCAAACAAGGTGTGCTCATCAGCTGTCCCAAGTCAGCGGTGTAGAAAAACAAGAAATGAAGAACTACAAGAAATGCTTAGAATTAAGTCAAGTTGACAGTAATGAGGTAAGTCATGACAAGAGTTTGAGGATTTGGTTTACATAGTTTCAGCAATCCRTTTAGCCTGATTCTTGTTGCAATATTTGTCTTAGGTTCTCAAGCATTTAAAATATCTTTACCTTTGCTTACAGATGGACCTTGCAATTTCTAATCTTCAGCAAATAGTTTGTGATTTGACTAGCCTATATACCCAACAAGGTATGCAGTATACCACCTAGATTATCTGTAAGAGATGAATTGAAAATATAGAAAACATACCCACATGATGTGCGCAGTCATAATATGATCATAATAATTAATGAATAGAAACATGAAAATTCAATGAACAGGAGATACTCAAGGTACAATCGGGAGAAGCATGAAGCATAGCGCAAATTGAACATGTATAGAGCAGTTTTCGTATGACTGTGAAAAAAACAGTGCTGTAAGCGTGACGTGCCGTGACCGTGATGCTTTCTAGAATTTTAATTGGCTGATTTTTTTCACATGCAATGTGATTGGTCTAGCATTGCCGTGACCTTGGCACGACCGTGTCCGTGCCGTGTTTATGCCATGTTCTGGGTATTTGATTGGATGGAGAGTAAATCATCGTGCAATGTGATTGGTCTTGCCGTGTCACGAACGTGTTCGTGCCGTGAATTTTTCACAGTCATACGAAAACTGCACTACTTTAATATTGTGCTATGTGCTCTCATAAAGTTCACTATCCCAACCAATCAGAATGTGAGATTTATGACTGTTTTTTATAATGAGTAATATATTAATATGTGAAACATGTATTGTTTGCAGGTCAAGAGCGTGATAATGCCAAGGTTTTCTTGTCTCAGATGTCATATCAGGATTTTTTTGATTCAGAGGAGAAGTTCACTAGTGAGTTAACCTTGTACACAAAGAAACAGTTTTTTGAGGTAGAGTATTGTACATCCAATGGTAATGTGTATTTTCTTTGGTGATGAAATGAATGAATGAACAAAAGGATGAATGTTACCTAGCTCTCATAGCTATTCTAGTTAACCCCTGCCATTCTTTTGTAAATATACTTATATGATATAATGTAATGTAATGTAATGTAATATAATATATATATTCCTCATTGTAATCTATGGTATAAATAAAGCACATTGATGTTGTTGTTGTTGTTTGATGGATAAATGGATGGATGGATGGATGGATGGATGGATGGATGGATGGATAAGCAGATAAGTAATGGTATGAATAAGAAATAGTAACTTAGGTTTCACTTTGTCCATACCATTTTTGTCGTTTGTTACTGCAGGGTATAGCCGACATGGCAGGAAGAGGGGATAAAAGTCGTTATGATCTGCTAGAGATAAGTGATCCCACCGCACTTCTAATTAGAGGTAAGGTCTGATTGGCTGTTGTACATCTACGGGCTGTAAGTAATGGGTAAAACATCTAACACATTATGCATTGCTTTAACAGGAGAAAGTGAAGAAGTTACCATGAATGACTGTAAAGAACTAGCAAGACTACAGTCTGTGTAAGTGTACTACTATACTTTGGATGACATTTGATTGCTCTATAATACTTTCTTATCATTGAAATTCCTTTAACTAGCTTTGCATTGAGTGAAAGCAAGAGAATTGATGCAGAAGCTTCCAGGATGGGTGTTAAAACAGCTTTATCACTGGCTAAAGAAAAGGATAGAGCAATGTTAAGACATCATCATGTTGCTGATCTGGATACACTCAGGTAAATACATACACTATACATCCTACCTACCTACCTACCTACCTACCTACCTACCTACCTACCTACCTACCTACCTACCTACCTACTTACCTACCTACCAACCTACCTTTCTACCTTACCTACCTACTCTAACACTCACTCACTCAGTTA